ATGATCAGCAAGATGAGAGCGTAATTCTGGTAATGTCAGACGATCAGTATTTCTTACATTCAACTCTTTTCCAAGCACCGCCAAGCCTTTACTTAAACCACGATTTGGTCCGTTCACGAAAAAACAATCTAAAACTTGTGCTTTTCCATTTGAATCTCTATACCTAGAATGGGGAGAAGATTGGTGCAATTAATTGAAATCAAAACTTTTGAGAAACAATAAAAAGTCCTGAAGTAATTCTTATAAAAACACTCACTGAATTTGATCGATTGCACATTTAGTGCCAATATTTTTACTGAAATCACTTAAAGAGTGAGACTTTTTTGTGTGAGTGCAAGCATTGTCAAAGATGAATTCCACTGAGTGATCACGATATGCTTCTTTGAATTCAATCATCTGAAAGATACGCTCACACTGATCAAGAACGGCCTCGTTATCCATGTAACAATCATATCCTACGTGAAGAGAAGCCGTGGCTGTACGTGGAACATAATCAAGATCTGTTGATGCTGCCAGCTGAGGATACTTTTTCACAGCTCGTTTCATTTCCTTTTCACTTAAATTGAAATAGGGGCCAGAGTGATGCTGGACGACGAAATCCGATACCATATTAGAACGGCCGCGGCCTTTACTGTAAAAGGGTGCCTGATCTCCATAAAACCAACGACGGCTGGCTATCTCTCCCGAACGAAATGTCGACTCATCATGGACTAAAAATTCAAATTAAACGAAATTAACTCACTGTGGTCTAAACAAAAAACTTCACTTACAAATAAGGATTCGACCTGGCTTTTTCTCAGGTTTAATCCAACCGGGTAAGTTTTCGTTATCATTGACTGTGTAATAACTTTGTTTATTATCCAAAAAATAATTTATAAATGTTTCACGACTTTTGACAACATCTGCTCTTTCATGGCCCTCCCAGTATGGACGTGCTCCATTCTCACGAAAAGTTGCTCCCCAACGTCGTAAATCCAGACTAAAGCAGAAAAAGCATTTTGAATAACTAAAACAAAATTCAAAAAAATTGTTTGTATCCGATTTTGACACTGCTACCGCAACTCCTGAGCGTCATTTGCAACGCATCTATACTAAAAAAAAAGACTAACCGAACTGAAGCTTCCGATCTAATTAATTCACTATCTTTTGGTTTTGTTGTTCCAGTTGTTTCATAATATTTCTCATCGATAAATCTCGCTAAATCATTAATACTAAAATTTGCTGCTTTATCAGAACACCGGGTAAGCGTATAAACTTTAGCTTCAGTTTCAATTTCAGGAAAATCATCAAAAAAATGCACTAGTATGTTTGCCACCACGGTGTTCACTCGTAAAATCTTTGAAATCACCAAAAAGGAAGGCTTCGGTGTGTTTTTGTGATGTTTCACTTAATAATGAACCCATTGGACGTAAAATATCATCACATTGCTGTCAGTTTAGACCAACATGCCGTAAGGTTGTATAGACTAATACACTTAAGTATTTGAGAGGACAGGACGCTTTACACAATTCTAAATTTTGAAAGAGAATTAAAAATGATTAAGACTTTTACCGAACTTCCATTGGAAGTTTTGAGAGAAGAAGAAGAAAGTGATCTTTCCAGGTGCTTAATTTAACAGAGTCACTTACGGAAGATATCACCAATATCATTCAGAAATATTGGCTTGTCGAAATCGATCTTTTCTTTATCTTCAATATTGATATTGTTTAATTCGGTCTCCATTTCTTCCCCTCCTTCAGAGGTACTATCTTCACTTTCATTTCCTAAAGTTTCACTTGAATATCGTTTTTTCAAAAAAGATTCACACAATAATGTACGTCGATTCTTTTTAGGCATTATGAGTGTGAAGAAAAGGTGAGAGATATTTCAGAATAATCTGAAACAAAAAAGAACATTAGTGCATTCAAATACGCAAACTAGATGAGCTTAGCGAATATTTTTAATCTTAAAGTAACATCAAATACTTTCCCAAGAGCTCCAGAAACCCATTACTCAAGACGAG